TATCTTATAATATTAAAATCATATTCTAGAGCTGTGGCAAATGCCAGTCAATGAATTCTTTGTTTTCCCTCCCCAAGAATCCCTTCCCTCCAACTCACTCCCTTGCCATTCACACCTAAAAGGCATGACTTACCACAGTCACAGGGCCTTTTGCTACCGTGGGAAGAGCTGTAACTCCTTTAAGAAAGGCCTAGGCCTGTATGAGTAAGCACGGTCTACGGAACAAAGGCAAACCTACCTCAAATTACCAACAGACAGGGATACTGTAGGAATACTTGTATGACATATCAAAAATTTTTCAAGTACTTCTAATGCGGCTGCAGCAGTGAAGCTGAGTTTTACAGCACTACAGCCAAGGCAACCTCTGTCTTTCTCCAACCAAGAGTCACACCAGCAGAGGCACAGGGGCTTATTTTTTCTCCTAGAATAGCTGCATTAAGGGCTCTCACCAGGTCAGCTGTGCTATTGAGGGATCACACCTCTTCCTAACCTTGACAGCCACAGCTGTGACGACAATACAGTACTGTGTGCTAATTCAGGACTAACCTCAGAAACCAAATATACACTTTGCCATCTAAAACTGTCTGCCTGCTCCTGGCATCTTCACAAATTTGGCTAAATGAAACACAGACAATTTCTAATCTTCCTGCCAGATTGTTGTATTTATTCACAAAGTGCTTTCTTGTTTGGACTATAATTTTTACTAAAAATACTTGCTTTGAAATAAGTTAAACAGATGCATGGTAAAGAAGTTGTTCTGTGCAGTTGGGAAGGTCTGCGTTGGGAGCCTGCATTCTCTGACTTTTTAAAAATAAATGAAAAAATAAAAACTGTCATGTCCAATTGAAGCATATCAAAAAGATATAAATACATCAATAAATTATATGCAAATTGAATTCTGAAGCCATCTTCTTTGGAGAAAAATCTTTCAAAATTAACTGATGCTAATTACTATGCTAGGACAGCACAAATAAACTACAAAATAGGCTAGCAGACAACCTTACAGCCTGATTACCAAGAACATTACTTGTGTATATCATTAATTCATCATCCTAATTTTATTTTGGATTTTCTTTACAACAAGACAACACACACAAGATTGTGTTGGTAGGCATGAAGCAGGGTCACATGAAGATTTTTAGCAAACCTTAGATACAAGGTTTGTAAAATCTTTCTGCCTAAAACAATTTAGCATAATAAAATTGTCAGAATGTTTATTCAGGGCTAGACTGAAATATTTAAAATGCAAAATTCATAAGAAAATGGTGCCATTTAGCTACTGCTGAACTGAAATTTATGCACCTCTCAAATCAAGTCCCACATTCCTGTTTACAGTAACACTTCAGGTTAAAAGTAAGGCTGTTAGAACTGATATGTAATAAAATGAATTTTGTCCAATAACTGCACTTTTCCCTAGTTCAACAGTAAATATTTACAGAGTTTCCATTACTCCCACTGCAAAGAATGTAAGTTCACATTTATATGGTCACTAAACATGCACTTACATAAACTTAATTCTAAGTTTTCATCAATGCTACATATTCAGCTGTATTATATGGAACCAATTCCATTCTCTGTGCAATATAACTCACTCTAGAGTTGAATTGCCTTTAACAGTTGCACCTTTCTGCTTCACAAGGAATATCTTGTCAGCAAGACCTGGTCTTAATTAAGCTACCTACCCAAATTACATAAGAACTTTCCTACACCAGGACCCAGCCTACCCAAGTCCTCCCCAACTCCCTTGTCAAAGGCCTCTGTCAAAACAATTGACATCTTTTATATCACTGGTTTCCACTACTATTTTTGAACAGAATTTCATAGGAGGCTCACGTAAAGGGGGAAGGGGGGGGGGGAAGGGGGGAAGGGGGCTACAACAAAGCAAATGTATTGTCACCAGTAGGTACAGTATTTCTTTGAAATGCATTTAAGGGTTCCAGAAGAAGCAGTCAACACTTCAGTCGTATTTATGCATATTTTCTTTCTTCATATTGACCCTTGCCAACATTACTCAACGCCTTTCCCTTTGAAGAGACACAAAAGTTACTTTTTTTCTTTCACAACGCCTCACTGAGGCCTGTTCCACTGCTGAAAGCAAGCAAAGCAAAGTCCACGCTGGGTGTCTGCCTCCTTAGAGAAGACTGCATTTTTTATTTATTGCCCCTTGGCTTTATTTTCACAGTGAATTCCTGGCTTAAATGCAATCAGCCAAGAAACCCTCCCTATGTGCACTCCTGTCATTCCTAATCGTTTGCAAACAGAATCAAGTGCAAGCAAAAAGGAAAAAAACTCTCAGCATTGCTAACCAAACTAAAAAAGCCCTACTGGTTTTGCCAGTCCTGAGGAACCACAGATGCACCCTCAGACCCTCTGGAATGAGAAAGTGAAAAGATTAAATTTATAAGAAAGTTATTTAGATTTAAGGAAAAAAAAAAAAAGAGAGAGTGAGAAAGAAAGTAAGTCCCCTAGGCAGAAAAGAAGGACACTGAGCCTAAGAGCAGGGACACATCTTCCATTTGGGAAAAAAACTGATGGCACATTTGCAAGGTGTCCGGCAAGTCAAACCCGCAGCAGACAGCAACAAGGTTTTGGGGGAGCGTGAACGGGGGAATCCCGGCGCCCCACACACACACACACCGAGCCGCCGCCGTCAACAAAAGGCAAGCAGCAGCGTCTTTTGTCTATCTTCGCTTTTCAGGGGAGGAGGAGGGGAAATGACAGAAAACTGAAAGAAAAAAAGAAATAGACAAAAGAAAAACAAAAAAAGAAAAATACGTAAATAAACATGAAAATGAGAACAAAGTGGCCGGGTCGCACAAAGAGCATCACCACCGGCAGAGGGGACTGTCTGCCGGGGGCGGCTCCTCTTTCATTCAGGGAATGGAAGGGGAGCCGCCCCCGGCAGCCAGCCCCCCGAAAGTGGGGGAATACCAACCTCTGCAGCCCTTTAAACAGTGGCAGGGAGGAGTTAACCAAGGGAGCCCGCAGAGGGTAAAGAACAGCGGCAGCCGGCTGGGCTGGGGGTGAGGAAGAGGAGGGGGGTATTGTTCCAGTAGGAGGAAGAGCTTCGTTTTCCCCCCCTCGTCACGAAGCCGCTCATCCTAAAGCAATCCCTCCAGTCATACCACTCCCGGCGGGGCGAATCGCGCCCCCTCCTCCGGCTCGCCGCCGCTGCCCTAGAAATGCCTTTGTTCGCGGATCCCCCCGCACTCCCGCTGCCGGGGTCTCGCACCGCTTTAATGTCTTTATTTTGGACGGCGGCGCATCCCGCCCCCACCTCCTTCCCCCGCCGGCCGCCCTTCTGCTGATTCATTTCCACCGGCGGTCCCCCTCGGGATGGGGGGGCGGCATCTCCTCGCTATTGTGGCTCGGGGAAAAGCGATGACCCGGATTACCGGGGGTGGACGCTGGTAGGGGGGCAGAGCCAAACGGGATTACACAGGCTGGATTACCGGGAGCGGGCACGGCGCGGTGCGGGGCTGAGAGTTAAAGGGACAGGCCGGAGACGTGTCCGTGTCACGGAGGCAGGGAGCCACCGCGCGTCCCGGGCACGAGGGGGAGGAGACCGACAGAGGAAGTTGCCCGGCCCATGGTACAGCCGGCGAGTGAAAGGTTCGCACGGGCCGGGCCGCCGGCAGGGAGCTGCAGAGGAGGGACGGCAAAGGGTGACACGCAGGGGGAGAGCCGCGGCCCCGAGCGGCGGCGGCGGCCTGGCCCGGTAGCGGAACCGACCGGTGACTCACCGACTTGCAGGACGTTATCGACGCAGCCGCCGTCGAGCAGAGCGATGCCCCTGCGGAAGGGCAGCCGGTTCTCGTCGGCGGCAGCGGCGGCGGCGTCCATGGCCCCGCCAGGCGCGGCGGCGCCCCCGGGGCCGGCGGCGGGATCCTCGGCGCCGGTGTTGAACGAGGAGTACATACAGATCTCCCTCTCGCTGCGGGGGAAGGACCAGTAGACGATCCTGCGCTGCACCGGCTCCGGGATCCGTTCGAATCGCTCCTCCACCCGCTGGAAGGGCCACTTCTCCGCCACCTTGCGAGCCGCAATGTCCAGCAGGGACTCAGGGCTCTGGGTCTTGCCGAGCGGTAGCAGCCCCAGGGCGGCGGCAGCAGCTGCAGAGGAGGGTCCGGCGCAGAGCGCGCCGCCGCCAGGCCCGGAGCCGCCCGCCCGCTGCCCCGGCCTGCAGCCCGAGCCATAGCCGAGTCTGCAGCAGAGGCGCTTGGCGGGGTGGGGGAGCTGACCGCGCTCCGCCATGATCGCGCCGCTTCTAAGCCGACAGCGGAAGTGGCTGTACCCTATAAACGGCTCCGGGAAGGCAGCGAGCGCCCGCGAGCCCCCGGGGACACGCCCCACTCTGCCCTTATGTGGCGAAGAGGGCGGGGCCTCGGGGCCTTGCCTGCTGCGGGGTGGGCGGGGCCTTATGCAAATCGGCGTCACAAACGTAAATAGAACGGTGGGAGGGGGAGGGGGAATAGCGAAGGGGTGGCGCGCGCTCCTCACCTCCGCCTTCCCAGCCTCTTCTCCCGTTGATGTCACGCGCGAAGCCCGGGCGCGCCCCCGCGCGTGTGGTGGGAAAAGGGGGCGTGGCCGGCGGCGCCCCCCGCTCTGCCGCCATATAGGGAATGGAATGCGGGGGCGGAGCCGCTGCCGCGGCCTGAACCCGGTCACCTCTGCCGGGAAAGCCGGAGGGGCGGGGCGCGCCATGCCGCGCCTCACGGACGGAAAGTGTGCTACCGGCTGCGGTCGCGCCGCAGTTAAAGGCCTGTGGTCCTGCTTCAGAGGTGGGCCGCGACGGGCGGAGGTGGTTCCGTCCGCCTCTGGAACAGGAGCTGAGGTGCGTGCATAACAAGCTCTTGAGCTACACGAATGAGGCGCGCCCCAAGAGGTGTTGGTGTTGAGTTTTGTGGGGAGTTTTATTTTCCTTCTATTAGAGGTAGTACGGTAAAAGTCGTCATCCCGGTGCCAGCACCTGGTTGGCTCTGCAGATGTCAGGGCTTGGAAGCGCTTCGGGAGAACCGAGACACGGGGCAGGGCCGCACGGACCCGCAGTGAGTCAATTGCAGGCGATGAAGGCACCGTGTTTGCCCAGGTGGGTCGTGAGGATGTCGTGACACAGTGGAGGGTCAGGGGTTTCGGTGATCTTTAAAAACCGTACCGTTCGGGTCCGTGCCGGCGCTTCAAATTAAGTTTCCTGCCTATGGAAAAAAAATATGTGTGTGTATGCTGAGGGTCCCAATATGCTGCGTGGCGCCAGGGCTGCCCGCAGCACGGAGCGCTGCTCCCGCCGCTGCTCCCGGAACACCGACCGCATGGAAGTGCCGCACGGCAGGGATGGAGCGAAGGCAGCCCACAGCGCCCTTCTGCGCAGAGAAGCTGTGGGCTGCGTGTCATTGCAGAGCAACTGACACTTCTATTTCACTAATTAAATTTAAAAATAAATATTTTTGGTGTTCTGGAATTTTATCGCAGGAATGGGATTACACTTTGCCGCGTCATGGTAAAGCAGTCACCATTTTTTATTAACCAAATTTAAAACCAAATATTTTTTTTATTAATTAAATATTCCGGAACTATAGCTTGTAAGCGGAATTTCTTGGCGGCTTGCAGTTGAAAACAGCACTTACTTGCTCGGCGAGCAGCCCTTTGCTGTCGCGCTGTGTCCTGCAAAAGCCGTAATTGGAGCGGCTTCCCTCCGGCAGGCTGGTTTTCCCAGACAGACTACATTTTCCATCATGCAGCGCAAGCCGCCCTCAGCGGGAGGCGGTTCCGTCAGGGAATGCGGCGGAGGAATGTCAAGCGTGCCAAGCATAAGATCTGAGGTGCAAACAGCATCGCCTTGGCTCGAAACTTTGCCGTCTCCTTTTTGTTTCCATCAGCTCCCCCCTGTCCTCCCCCCCACCCTCGAGCGGAACAGGAACTTATTTTGTAGACAAGCGATTGAAAAGTTTTGCAGAAACTGCATTTTCCTTTAAAAGTGAGTCGGAAATTGAATGAAACTTACCAGACTCGCTGACCGATTTTTAAAGAAAGATTGGCAGAAACCTGAGATGGTTTAGAATTTGCACGTATTGGGGGTGGGGGGCAGTGTATGCTTTTAAGCTTCTAAACAGTAGCACCATTAGGAAGTTTCACGGGTAGAGAATTTTTTTCCATCTAGGTATATAGCTGCGCTTTTGCGGGGGATGGTTCTTTGGGGGCTTTGGGGGTTGGATTTTTGCTTTTGTGTTTGTTTATTTTTCTGGTTTAGTGTTTTGGTTTCTTTCTTTTTCTACTGCCAGTTATTCATACCAAGAAAATGATGGATGCATTTTAACCAAGCAGCTTAAACTGAAGACATGGCCAAAATTATTTTCTGCACAGTCTGGGTGGTGGGTTTTTTTTTTTTTGTTTGTTTTTTTGTATATATTATAAGTTTGTGGGGATTTCCTTTGGGATCATGAAACTTAGCTTCTGTGTAAGAAATGGGTTTAAACTGAGGCTTGTGTTTCTGGCTATGGACTTCACAAAAGTAGTTACTCTTGAAATGCCAGTTTCATAAATTCATTCATAGCGTGCTGGAATATTAACTGCCTTGTTTCTCATTTTAGGCATGTTTTGTAAATGTTCTGCTGGATTCATAAACTTAACTCCAACAGAATTTTGGAAGTGTTAGGGAGCCTAAATGCTGCAGACCAGAGAGGAACTTTTAGTACTTTCTTTTACTATTAATATGGTTTTCATCTCAGCATTTCTGCAAGCAGAGATATTAAATATGTAGATGGTAGGAAAAAAAAATAACTTCATGATTGCATGTGTATGAGAGGAGAGGAAAATTATTTTTCACTCCATCACTTACTCTTGAATAATGATTGATTGCATGTCAAAGCAACTTTTCTTCTCTGTTCTACCACTATTTCTGCTTTAAATAAGCATCTAGCAAGCCAGTAAAAATACTCTTCCAAATTGGGCAATGGCTGTTCTTTACCAGGTCTTAACCACCTGCTGCAATAAAAATAACAATAATGCCACTGGAGGAATTCTTTGTCTCACAGTCAAGAAAGTTTACAATAAAAACCAAGAAGAGTGAGAAAAATGACAATGAACAACAAATCATCTGTAATAGCAGATTAGCCTAGATGTCAGTTATCTCAACTTAGTCTTCTTTCTCTACAAAACTGGGCAGAAAGTTTTAAATTCACTAAAAGAAATCCCAGAGAAAAGGAGATCCTCTTAATTTGTCTACCACTCATCAGGCATAGCTACTTCCCACTGAGTCTGTGTATATTGACAGATACACAAGATGCTGGTGAATCTTTTTAGTTTCTGCACTAGGGAGCAGACAAGGAAGCAAAAAAAATGTGCTCTGCTTTAGGCTTCAGCTGCACTGCTGTAGCATTGGAACAACTTGCAGACAAATTCATCTGAGACTGAACTTCTTTTGTCTTGCCAGGCTTGCCCCCTGAGTTCCCTCCACTGTCTGAAACCAAGTGGGAAGATGTGTTAACTCCAGAGAAGAAATAAGCGTGTGTTAAAGCCGTATCTAAACTGTATTTTAATTGCTAGTCAGTTTTTCTTTCAATGGATGTTCTCGAGGAAAGACCTTACCGAGCTGAGTATTTCTTTCCTCTATTTGTGTCTCACCGTTTTGGGAAGTTTCTATTCCAGAGCTGCACAGAGAGGAAGGAATGGCTGCAAAACAGCAAGCTTAACTTGGCTAACTTCCTGCATGTAATCAAAGGCTATTCTGTGAGCTGCTTGGAAAAACACCCTTGGCCACCACGCACTGAAATTCCTTCCTAATAATCCTTTCAGAGCATTAGGCCAGTTGCAGTCAGTTTTTCTCATTAGAGTAAAGTGTACAAGGTTTGAGCATTCTACCAGTTTTGCTAATTTAAAAGAAAGGTCACATACTGCTGCACAGTTGTCTTTGTATGAAACACACAAAGGTCTAAATGTAGAAAAATTATGGCAGACAACATAATGCTGGCCAGCATAAGTCACCCCAGCGGTTAAATCTTACCGGGAAAGATGAGGCTTGGCATTCTTGCATTGAAGCTTAACAAGGGTCTGGATTCATGCACTGCATAAAATATTTCTAAATTCTCAGAGGGTAGGGGGTCAAAGACAGAGAAGGAGACTTGGGAATGGAGGCTGGAGGGTTCTTGGCTCTAAAACTATGAGGAATAAAAGCAAGAAAAATTGAGGAGACAGGACTATAAGAGTCAAAACAAGAAAGAATGATAGGCCTACTGAAACAACTGGATTTACAGTGTCAAACCAAATCTTTTTTAACGTGTTTCTGTGTGCCTTTTTAGATAACTAGGGGTTTCATTTATTGGAAGAAAGCTATAGGTTTGACAGATACCAAATGCATTCTAATATGTGGAAGCTTGAAAAAACACTGGTGTATGTAAAGGTAGTGAATGTCACTGTACTCTGCAGTGTAGTGAAACACACGCAAATGCAGTAAAAGCAGACAAGTGATGAGTGTTGATGAAATTGCCATTTTAAGATTGGTTGATGAAGAAAATAGTGTTGTTCGTCACTGTCTTCAGTTTTACAATGTTTTCATAAAACAGTTTCTTTCATTATGTTCAGACGCTATTTTTCATTTAAGGCCTAAAAAAGAACTTTTGCCTTTTACTAGTCTTTTCAATCAAACAGTCTAGGATAAATATTGCCAGCTCTTTTGAGTTTCTCTGTTAAAGTGGAAATAAACTGGCAGCATCGAATGAGCCCTTTCAAAGTGCAGCTTTTAATTTTGATTAAATTCCGTGATGATTCTAAAACTGGAGTCAGAGACTAGAATCTAAAAGCATTTAGGAAAATTTACTTAAAATACTAAGCATACTTTACCAGTGTTCTAGAATAATTAAAAGAAACAAACATCTAAAAGCTAAATCCTCTTGACATTCATTTCTGTGTCCTCTGCTCAATACTTGATGTATGAAGTCATTCTCAGACGGACTGAAGGGGAAGGCATTGTTTGTGCCATAATCCCAGAGCTGTGTGAATTAATGCTGCTCTGTATTTCCTCAAGGAATGATCACATTCAGTTTACATTTATTGAAAATAGGCCCTGGGAATGAATTATTTCTTCCTTATAAGGAGCCTTATGTTGGGCTATCTGTTGGGACAATTTAGCTCACTACTAAGTTGCTAGGGATAAAAGCATCACTGTTACAAGTAAGATGATAATGTGTAAGTAACTTCTTAAGATTAAATGTGTTGCAGTCATTTAGGTGGTTCAGAATTTTGAAGTCATGGAAGACTAGAGCAGTAAGATTGTCTCACCTTTCCTCAGACTTAGCATTTGCAAAAAGTCAAAAGGAGAAAGTCTTGTCTCTGAGAGAACTCTAGATTTAATGTCTCTCTGGATTTGTTGTGACCTTCTTTAGATGTGAGTTGCAAAATTTATGAATACTCAAAGTAAAAGCAGTGTTCTCCTCACAAGTCTTTGTAAATGTTGTAAAAGTATTATATTTCCCTAATATTGAAATAAAAGAATTTGATTAAAATACTGGGTATTAAAACATCTTTATTTATTCTCTTTATTGCAAATGCATACACTTAATTGTGATAAAGTGGTTAAAAAAAAAAGATTCCTCAAAACTTTATCTTCTTCTAGTTGGACATTCTCCACCAAAAGTGGGATAGGCTTCTAGGGATAGAAGTTATCAGGGGCAAAATGCCACTGCTTGTTCTACCAGCTTGTGTAAGAATACACATACACAGAAGGTGAAATGGGCTGGTGGCTTAAAAGGACACATTAGGGCACTGCCTTCTTGTGGATAAGCACCCTACATGAACAACTTTCCCTTTTTATCTTCTTGGGCTTTCTCCCTTTGAACTGCACTTTAAACTTTCTTGCATTGGGTCAAGTAACTGCCTTGCAGTATCAGGCCCAATAATTCTTGGTCAGAAACTCTGCATGAAGGACATGAAAATCTCAATCTGATATTGTCACAAAGTAAAAGACATTGCTTGCCTAAATTTTAGCCCACGGCAAAGAAAGAGAAAGTATATAAACTAAAATTTTCTGAAGAGCATTTCCACATGCTGAGTACTGGTAGAATGATTTTTAAAATGGCTTTAAAGAAAAAAAAGAAAAAAAAACCCAAACAAGTCAAAACTTTTCCTTCTCCCATTTCATGGATCACAGAATCATTTAGTTTAGAAAAGACTTCCAAGGTCATCGAGTCCTGTCTTTTGAATGATCACCACCATAGCACTATGTGCCAGGTCCAGTCATTTCTTGAACACTTCTGAGGATGTTGACTCCACCACTTTACTGAGCAGTCTATCCCAATGTTTGACAGCCCCTCAGTGATGAAATTCTTTCTAATGTCCAACCTAAGCCTCTCCTGGTACAGGAGACTCTGCTCTTGTCTTGTCAGTGGTTGACTGGGAGAAGAGCCTGACTCCACCTGGCTGCAGTCTCTTTTCTGGCAGTTGTAGAGAGTGATAAGACTGTCCCTGAGCCTCCTTTTCTCCAGTATAAACATCCCCAGCTCCTTCAGCCATTCAGGACTTATGCTCCAGACCCTTCCTCAGTTCTGCTGCCCTTCTCTGGACCTGCTGCAGCACTGCAATGTCCTTCCTGGATTGAGGGGCCCAGAATAGGATTTGAGGTGCAGCCCCACCAGTGCCCAGGACAGGGGGACAGCTCCTGCTGGCCAGGATGCCAATTTGCCTTCTTGGCCACCTGGGCACAGCCTGGCTCATGTTCAGCTGCTGGCACCAGCACCCCCAGCTCCTTTCCAGCCACTCTGCCCCAGCCTGTGGCACTGCCTGGGGTTGTTGTGACCCAAGGGCAGGAGCCAGCACTGGGCCTTGTTGAACCTCACACCATTGGCCTCAGCCCATGATCCAGCCTCTCCAGATCCCTCTGCAGAGCCTTCCTGCCCTCCAGCAGATCAATACTTACACACAACTTGTCATCCATGAATTTACTGAGAATACACTCAACCCTCACGTCCAGATCATCAAAAAAGATGTTAAGTAGAACTGGCCCCGTTACTAGCACCATTCCCCACCACTCTCTGGGCCTGGCCAATTCAGCAAAGGGTGCACCTGTCCACTCCATGGGCTGCCAGTTTTTTCAGGAGAATACTGTGGGAGACAGAATCAAAGGCTTTGCTGAAGGTAGGCTACATCCGCAGCCTTTCCCTCATCCACTAGGCAGGTTACCTGGTCAGAAATAGAGATTAGTTTGGTCAGGCAGGACCTGCCTTTCCTAAACCTGTTCTGGGTGGGCCTGATCCATTGGTTATTCTGTGTGTACCACGTGATCATATTTAAGATCATCTGTTCCATAGTCTTGCTGGGTGCTGAGGTCAGGCTGACAGGCTGTGTAGTTGCCTGGATCTGACTTCCAGCCCTTTTTGTGGATGGACATCACACTGGCCAACCTCCAGTCATCTCTGTCATCTCCAGACTTCCCTAACTAGCTAGGGCTGACTAAGAAGTCTGAGTCCAGACTAATGTATGATGGCAATAGAGCTGAGCATAAAAGGGAACATCTTAAATATGCCAAAATGTGGAGCTCCTGCCTGTGTGCTATAGAGATGGGGTGCCTTTCAGTAGGATCCTTGCTGTGCTATATCCTTGTCCCCAGCAGCACAGCCAAGGCAGCAGTCTTAGGAAAAGTATAGCTAAATATACAGTGATTTCTTTGGGTGCCAATTTTCTGCAAACTTCTCAGCCTTCATTAATTATAACTGACGACCTGCAGAAAGTAGGGAGGCAAAGAAAAGGCTGAGATAGCTAAGCAACACTATAATGGTTGTTCCTGCTTTAACAACTGTCATTCTTTTAAAAAGCTCAGGTACAATACATGCTTCCTCTTAATTTTTTCCCCAGTGACTGTATTTAGCAAGCTGGGAAAATGAGCTGGACTATGTTTTTGTTTTACTTAATGATCTCTGTGTAAAATTTGGTTCCAACTGATACTTAAATTCTTAGTTTACAGGCATTTGAACAATATTGCAAACGTGTCTCTAGCTTTGCAGGGACTGGAACACCCAATCAAGATTTACAAACAACTATTTTCTTAGGTTGTATCAGAGACAAACTTAAAAGGTAGTTTTCTAAGTACAAGGGCTTCTGTATAGTTAAGACACCCTTTGAAATTAAGAGACCCAGCTTTTTTTGGTCCCACAAAAGAATTACACTGTGCTGTCTTGTCATTCATTTGGTTAAAGGGTACTGTACACTGAGGAATAGTTAATAAGGACCAAATCAAGGGGGTTTACATTCTGAAGGGTTTTTTTCCCTTTTTTTTTTTTTTTTCCCAACACAGATTTTATCTTCTATTTGTAAAGCCTGGGCATTTGTCCCAAAACTTTAGAAAGTATTTGAAATTTTGTAGCCCAAGTACTAATTAGAGTGGAGTGTACTTGTTTTGCCAGTCTATCTCTGCAACACTGACTGAGCTGTGGAATATTTCATCTATTCAGAGCAGTCAGCTTGCAAGGCTAAACACAGCTTACTAACATATACTTTGGGTGACATCAATATACTTTCTATTTTATTTTGTATCCCAGCTGAAAGTATTTTCATTGTCTGGTTGCCTGTTTCTATCCCTTCTTTTCCTTTCCCATCTTCCTTTGACTGTGTTTTGCTGTTGCATGTCCATTGTACACTCTGTCTCTATTAAAGAGACATAATGGGTAAATTTTCCAACCACTTACCTTCCTTCTTCGTATGCTTCTTGACCTGCAGTCTCAGAAACTGTACCAGAGCTAATATGTCAGGCTAAGCCTTGTAATCAAATTTGGAAGATAGAGATATTCTACGGTTAGAGCCTGCAGTAAAATTTTGTCAGAGAAACCAGTACTTCCTTTTACTTCACTGCCTTCAAAGGCTTCACTGGAATACCTTTCTTAGAGCAGGGATTTAATTTTTTTCTACTGGTCTGTGACAAGACAACATCTAACTTTTGAAGTTGCTCTGAATAACAGCATCTAATGTTTGAAGTTGCTTTGAATAGAAAGGGAGAACTTATTTGTTTTTCTTTTTCTTTTTCTTTTTTTCTTTTTTTTCTTTTTTTCTTTTTTTTTTTTTTTTTCTGCTCCAGGGATTAAGATGAGCTGAGAGAGATACCTGTGCTGCACTTGGACACTTGAAATAATAGTCGCACAGTGTGGTCTTGTATTTCCTGAAACTTAGTGCTTTGAGCCTATTCCAGGGGAATATTAGGAGTTCCAATAATTTGGCAGTTTACCACTGAAAAGGAAAGGACCCTTGGTAATTAATATGTCCCCATGCTTCTTTGCTTTAAATAATTATGCAGGATTAATGGGACAGCTGTCCTACTGTGAGACACTGTCCTGTGCTGGGCTGTATTGGGGTCCTTCAGAGAAATAGATGCAGACGCTGTGTATGGTGTGGTTCGAACACTGCAGGACATACTGAGTCAGTGACTGCAAGCTTAGATGTTATCCTACAGATGTTATGATCCATGAGCAGGAGGGGTGGAAATCTCTGCTGGTGTTTCATGTAAAATATATTTTCTAGTGGTTCCAAAAGTGGAGCTTCTGGGCAAGGACAGGTATACTAAGCCTCTGAATTCCTCCAGTTGTAGTAAAGGTCCGGTGTCACATTACTGTTCACCCAGCCTAAGACAGAAGACTATCTCTAAGAAGAACATTCTCCTAACCCAGAATTGATTCCCAGTCAGTAATTTTAATATATAATTCTGAGAGCTTTGTTACAGACAGCACAAAAATAATTTTGTTCTTGTGGTTTCAGTAGTTCTGAGAAGCAACAGCGACACATCCTGAGCATGGTTTTCACCACATTTGGGACAACGGCCCGGGCACCAAAGTTCACCATGTGCACACTTGGATGACCAGGTTTGCACCCTGCTCTGGTTTTCAATTTATCTCTGCAAGCATAAAGTCTTTGATTTTTTAAAACAAAAATTTGCTTGCTGCAATTGAATGGCTGGTTTTGAAGCTCACTAGAAAAGCTAGAGGTCTTTTCTTTAAAAAGGAAACAAGAAATCACTAGGATATGAGGAGTGAAATAACTGAGGAAGGGAAGGGCAGAACTAAAGTGAATATGATTTGAGGGATAAATGTAAAAACACAGTTCCTTGCCAGCTCCACCCTCTAAATGGTATTTACCACCAGGAAAATTGGATCCACCCTGGATTGATTGTTGCATCAGGAAAGTCCTCCATAAATAGCTCTGAGCCTTACAAAAGTTGCAGTTTTCTCTTCCAATAATTGATACTGTGGTGACAACTTCCACCTGCTACTCATGAGTCACAGTCACCACATCTGCTAAGGGGAAGAAGGCAACTTTTTTCCCTTTCCTCAGAATGTGTTGCCTTGTCTGCAGTAGTGGTCCTAGGAGTGAAAAATTGCTACTAAGTTTGAGCACTTCTTAGAAGGCATGGTGTCCCCTAGACGACTATTTGGAAACAAAACCTGCAATCTCTGCTTACTCAGAGTTTAAGAAATGTAAATGAAGAGGAACCACTTTAAGAGTACCTGGGGATTGTTGGTCTAAGTTGCATTATTGCCAGTGAATGAGGGTTTATTCCATACTGTTTACTAAATGAAGAGTATAACCATGGCAACATCAATGACATGGTCTGTAAGAATCTGCCAACGCAATTCTGAAATTAGCATTCAAAAGGCAACTGTCTAAAAGTAGCTTGAGAACTGAAAAATAATGTTTCAGACTACAGTCCGTATGGGAATACACAGTATCTGCAGCATGAAAATTATGCAAAATTTACCAGGTCAGCTTATGCTGATCTCTGCAAGAATATTTCTGGTATCATTTATATAGGTCTTACTTTGATGAGTGAAAGCATAATGGTATAAATACTAATATCCAGTGGTAATTCAGATCACATAATAGCTATAATTTTGTGTGAAGTATACCTAAAAAATACAAATACTACTAGCTTTTTATGATCAACAGTGTCCTGGGATGACTTTATGATACTGGTATCCCCAATTTGCATTTGCAGTAATGCAAAGATAGTCAAAATCTTTTTTTCCAAGTTTAGTGGGGGAAAAAAGTAAAGAATGGCAATTGTTAGACAAGATGAAGGTTCTACTTTCTGCATATAAAAAAGAAATTTTTGGGGTGATTGGGAAATAAGGTGAGTAATATAAAAGGAAGTTCTAGATCTGAGTTAGTCCCCTGCTATCCCAGTTAAACTTAGTCTAATAAATACTTTTCGTTGTCGCATGTTGTGATGTTCTTGCAGACATCCTTTATGCAGGAAGTTGTGGTCTGGCAGAATGAAGGTTGATTGAATTATAGCTTGGTTCTTCATGCCTCTCTACGGGTCACTGCTTTCTGGAAAAAGCAGAGTAAACATAACTACACCTTTGTCATTGAGTCATGCGAGCTTTTGTAAGTAATGCTTGCAATTGCAATGAACAAAAATAATTCTCTGGTTACTCTGCATGCACTTTCATCAGTGGTTAACATCACTATTTTTGTTTAAATTTATCTCTTCTTTTGTGTGCATCTGCCACTTAGCAGGACAGACATGTTTATACAAGTATATTCCACAAACTGTTTAGGAAATGTGTAGGAAAATGCAGAACTGCAGAGCTAACTTCTGAAAGTTGGCTAGACTTTTAGATGACTCTGCCCTCTCAACAGATGCTCAGAACAGTGACAGCTCTTTATTGCTACAACATACCATCTTGGGATAACACATCAGCTAGTCTGGAAATTTGAAATATTTTATGTTTTGCTACTTCATATAAGACTGAAGTGCTGATGACAGTTACATCTGCAAAGAACACAGTAAACACAGCTGTCATTCATCATCATTCATGTCCATTGCTACTCTCATAGGTAAATGTTGTATATTTAGGAAATGTTAAGTTATGATGATGAAATGATGAAAATGATGCTAGTAAAAAACCTGGCCTGATCTCCGGATGCTCAAACAATCTCTCTATATTTTTCCCAGGGTACCTGGCCTTTATTTCACCCTCAGTAGGCTTCCTTTTGTGGTTTGGTTTGTTTAGGAGCAAGTTGTTCATCCATGCAGGTCTCCCAGTACTTTTGTCCAACTTCTTTTTGTTGGGATGCATTGCTCCTGCCTTGGAGGACCTTGACCTTTGAAGATTAACCAGCTTTCTTGGGCCCCTCTTCCCTCCAGGATTCTATGCCCTAGTACTCTGCCAAGCAGACCAAAGTCTGAAGAGGCCAAAGTCTGCTCTTCTGGAGACCAGGGTAGTGAGCTTCTTGTGTGTCCTCATTCAAATTCCACCATTTCATGATCACTACTTCCCAGGCTGTGCTTGAGCTTTACATTCCCCACCAGTCTCTTCTTGTCAGCAAGAACATAGTCCAGCATAGCACCTCTGTCATTGGTTCCCCTGTTATTTGGAGAAGGAGGTTATGATCAGTGCATCACAGGAGCCTCCTGGATTGCCTGTGCCTGGCTTTGTTGTTCCTCCAACCAATATTGTGGTGGTTGAAGTCACTCATAAAGACTAGAGCTTGTGAATGCCCTGGTGTGTTTGAGGCATCTGGGGAAATCCCAAAATTGTATCATTTCCCAAAATGAGAAAACACATTCTATTCCAGCAATAACTCGGTAGTGTGTTAGCCATCAAAACTAATTTTAAAATAACACATTCAATTTTAAAATATTGAGTAACTGTGAGCCAAAACAAGAGCAATAAATGGAGGATCCTAACTGAGCAAGTATATTCATACTGGAGTTATTTTAGGAATTATTTTTTGCTATGTGTTGTTTAATGCTTGTTTTAAATTTCATCAACATTGTACAAAATCATTAATGATACTCACAGATGACCCAAAAGATTGGAGATAAAATAAACAAAGATAGGTCATTGACACACACCAGATGGCTTTAATAAATTGGGGACAAACAGACAAGTGTTTTGTTGGTAACTATTAAAGTAAAACATTTGTGAACAGAGAAATCAGCATGTCCTTTTTACTCTTATATTTATGACCTTTACATTTAGTGTGCCCATCTAATTCTAGATCTTCAGAACAGAAAAGACAACCAAATATGGAGCCATTGAAGGCCAGCTGAACAAGTTGTTCTAAAAGTGAATTTCTCTAATAAACAGCCTTTTATTTTAGGTGAGTCTAAGCCTCTAATTTGTTGTCTTGCATTTCCTTGTATATTTTGACTCTGATCATCTCTAGAGTGCTCTGTTATATTACATGCTTATGGAATTTTATTTTGGCATCTCAGAGTTATGCTAAAATATCCCCATGGTATAAATTGATTCTACTTTTGAAATTGAATTTTGAAATTTGAAAAAAAAAGTATTTCTGAATATGCCTTACACCTTAGATTCATCACTACTTCGTTACCCTTTCTCTGTCTAGCATACAAATGTATTTGTACAGCTGTAACTAAAAAGGGAATAAAACCAAGTCTACTGACAATTCCCTTAGTCTAATCATCAGTCATGTTATTGCAAAGTTAATGCTGCTGTTGCCTTTCTCATCTTCAGAAATCTGTGTTTCTCTGGACCTAAGAAGAACTGAAAATGATGGTATTCTTTTTTTTTCTGGTCACAAGTTATTATTTGGGGATTTGGAGGAGGAATGAAGAGATGCAGAGAGATTTGTCAAGACAGGTAATAACGAATGTACTCTTAAATACAGTGCTTTAGTTGAAATGCTTTGTGTAATTCTTGGCTATACTAAAAGAAATCTTTAGGGGTTGCATAGACAATACTAGTTATATGTTTGCACTGATTTTTTTTTTTTTTTTAATTTGCTTTTTGCAGTTTAGGATTCAAGAATACTTAAAAAGGAAAGGCTGAGAGAAAAGCTAGGAAAGTAATTGATTCACATGGCACAATACAAGGAAGTTTCTCCTCTTTATCAAGCAAAACCATGTATTGACTGCAGTCCAAAAGTATCTGCAATGAAATAGAAACTTGATACCTGGCTTCTCCATCTAGCTGACACACATAAGAGGATGTGATTGCTGAATTTTAGAAGCTGAACAAAATCAAACTGGAACTGACTGGTATTATTTTCCCTAAATACAGATCAGTTAACTACTGAAACAAAGTAAATTATAATGGGCTTTCCATCTCTAGTTTTAACCTCAAGAGATATCTGTCTTAAAATAGGTATTGTAGCTCAACTCAGCAATAGTTCAGGATAGCACAGAGACTTCTATGACAAAACAGATCAGCCCAGTGGATGGTCAAAATGGTTGTTCTAGCCTTATCTTTAATGGGGAGAAAAGTTGTCTTGGTTTTTCCTTCATCTCTTCTATGAGTTTACTTCGTGATCCATATTTTTGCCTTTGTGGAGGCTGCTATTTGTAATGGAGCTTCAGGGCATCTGCAGCTGTTTAAGAAAGGACATAATAATTTCTAAATGGTGTAGTGTGGCAAGGGATCCAGGCTGCATAAGAATCTGTTCTAAAGATGTCCATGGAAGAGAGACAGCCACATATGGAATTTTAGCACTCCTTTGTTCTGTTTATTCCAGTTTCTCAGCAATAGTCTTCTGCATTAATATTTTGTCCAGTGATTCTGCATCACTATATGTATGTGGTCATATCCAGAAGGTGGAATACCATTCTGGATTAACAGTTTAAGACCCTTTATTTACTTATCTTGTACGCCTGTATGATTTTAAATGCAGTGAAGGGTATGTACATCCTGACACTTGTTTTTTTAGGTTATCCAAAACTTCTGATGTACAATTCGTCTTTTGTTTGTAAAGTGGTATTTTGTCCTTTGAATAAAAAGTGCAGAAGTAATTAGCAACATTACCTTATCATTATTTACAGCAAGTCAGTTCCCTCTTTGTGCACAGAAAACTAAAATTGCATCCTTCCTTGGCTGAAAACTTCCTTTCTGCAAGCAATAAAAGATGCAATATCCCTTACAGTGGCTAGTTCAGCTTTCTTGCAGCTTGGGGCAAAACCACATTGGTAGAAGGAAAATGTCTTGTTTCTGATGTCTGTGAAGCTTCTCTGAACTGACCTGAACATGAACTTATACAGAAGGGACCTCTGTGTAGTGACAAGAATTTGAAAACAGGGTATAATTACATAAGAAATTTAAAATAAGTTGAGGAGCATGTTTCAATGAGATCGGCATTCCAAGTAGTCCCTAACAAGAATTGAATATTTTTTTCTCTGTTGTCACTCATTTTTCTTTATAACTGATCATCTGAATTTTTGTGTTAAATTTTCTCCAGGCTGAAACGTTATGCATGATAGCAATTCCTGTCAACAGACCTTTGGTACAAAGTTGGCCTTGGTATCCTATACAAGTCTCCTGACTTCTTTAACTACTTTGATACTGGTAAAAAAGGGATTTGTTTAAAAAAAAAAAAAAATTACAAAAAGATATCAAAAAGGATGTGGTTTTTTTGTCCCATGTTGAAGAAGCTAATAAAGTGCATAATCTGAAGAAGTCAAGAGAAGGAAGAACCACATTAGTGTCACTAGTAACACTTCCACATTGGTAAGACTGGTGACCTCCTCATTGCAGCTTTGACCAGGAGGGAGCTGAGCTCATTGTTGCCATTGATATTAGTAGCTTCAGAGCTTAGCCTCTATTCAGATGAAGCCAGTTTCTCACTGAGCCCCTAAACATAATTTTGCATTTGAAGAGATTATTTTTTTCTCTTTTAGAAGTAGTTTTTTCTAATCAGATTGTCTTGCATGGCCTTTGTAGTTTCACTGGTTGATGCTCATTGAAAGGTATCTGTGATGTCTAACTCCTTCCTAATCATCTTCACATCAGAGTAGCTGTTTGATTGTACTTAAACTACTCTGGGAATCCATAGTAAGCATTGTGGTTTAACCCCAGCCAGCCACCAAGCATTAGGCAGCTACTTACTCACTGCTCCACTAGCAGGATCAGGCAGAGAATCAGAAGGATAAAAGAGAGAGCTCGTGGGTTGAGGTACAGACAGTTTAATAGGGAAAGCAAAACCTGCACATGCAGCAAAGCAAAACAACGAATTCATTCACTGCTTCCCATGGGAAGGCAGGTGCTCAGCCATCTCCCGGAGAGCAAGGCCCAATCACACCTAATGGTGACTTGGGAAGACAAATACCAGCGCTCCAAATGTCCCCCTTTCCTCCTTCTTCCCCCCACTTTGTATACTGAGCATGATGTCACATGGTCTGGAATATCCCTCTGCTCAGTTGGGGTCACCTGTCCAGGCTGTCGTCTCCTCCCAAGCTCCCAGGCACTCCCAACTTCCCTGTCAGCATGGCAATATGAAAAGGAAAAAAGGCCTTGGCTCTGTGTAAGCTCTGCTGAGCAATAAGAAAAAAATCTCTGTTATGAACTCTATGTTCAGCACAATTCCAAAACACAGCCCCATACCAGCTACTGTGAAGAAAATTAACTCTACCCCAGACAAAACCAGCATGATAAGTGAAATCATCAGATTATTCCCAATGTCTTATGTCTGAAACTCTGGGGTGAGTGTTCCTATGTTTCCATGCCTTGGGAACTCCATTGCTGTATTGAAATGCTTTTAAGATTGAGATTCTTCTGAGAATCATCTTTAATTTTACATCTATGTGTCTCCTCCCTGGCAAAAACTCTGCCAGACCACTCTCACTGACACAGGAGGTTCCAAAGTACAACATTATAAGTTGATAGCTTAGTATTTCACGCCTCCAGGCTGAATTTTACCTTCTCCTACTAAAGTCTTGCATCTCAGATGCTATTCTTTGTGTTGCAATAAAGTCACAAGGAGAAACCTTGCAAAGCAGCAGGACATTTGCTGGTCTATTCACAACTGCACTTGACCATCATATCCTCTTTTTTTATGGGCATCAGAAGAAAAACCCTTTTATCTGTGGTTTTGGGGAAAGGAGGCAAAGCCTTTTCCATCCTCCTTTCTCCAGTTTTACTTTCTGCCTTTAGACTGAAGGAGGTTCCTCTTCTGAAAGAGCCTAAGTCTCTTTGACTTGAGATGAGGTTTTCCTGGGATACACACCAGAGTAGAAGCCTAAGTGCTCTTCTAGACTAAAAGTATTCCTCGCTGAGGTGGTCTTGAAGTCTGTTTCTACTCCACAGATTAAATCTTGTTCCTGCTACAAAATGGTAAGTCTAATTTACACTTTAAATTACAATTAAATCATATCCACAAGTTGTCAGGTATTCCCCAGACTATCACACCTTTCTTTTAACATATGGACTGACTGACACAATCACATCAAATGTTTTTCCGGACAGTTTGCTATATCCACTAGGCAACATTTCTCATTTAATATTCCTTTAGTAAGTCTGTATCTCCAATGGCAATTTAATTTTCATTATCATCTGATGTAAATTATCATAGTTTCAGTAGACTTCAATGGTTTGATGATTTATGCCATCTGAGATTCTGCATCTGAAAACTCTTTAACAAAAGCAGCTGCTACTTTTAACTAATTTGAGAAATGATAAGTAACTGTCTGAATCTAGCTATCTTAATACATGTTACTCAACTGCCAGCACACCCCACATACATGAGATTAAAAGTCCTTTGCCTTGCATCTGAGTAAGTGGGATTATGTCCATCATTTTGACAAAAATTAAAATTGAACAGAGTCTGCCGTACTCTTTTACAGCAACTTTTTCAGGAAGACCCAAAAGCCCACACTCTTATCAGCAAAGCATGTGAGTTTGGCTCTGCTAGAAGCTACAGTTACCTTTATACTGACCATGAACATTACATATATTACATATATGCAATTTTTAGACAGCTGAGTGTTTCACTTTAATGTGTTTCAGTTTTGGTTCTATGTTCATCTTCAAGCCATATGAACATTACTCAAAGTTTAAGTTTGAATAAAGTATCAGTTTGAACTTGTGAAGAATATGACATTGCATGGATATAAACTATTTCCATCAAGATTATGATAACACTTTTCAGTGTTTCATAGAAGACATGGTCTGGGACCTATTAAGAGGAATGGATCTCTTATTTCTTCAGAGCTGCATCCAGCTCTGGAGTCACTAGCACCAAATTCTTCTGGACAAAATATCCAGCCCACAGCTGGGCAAACACATCATTTGACAGGTGAACAGCTGTCTCATGGTTGAGCATAGAGGGGTTACAGTGACTGGGGTGACATCAGACTGGGAACCTCTCACTGGTAGGGTTCCACAGGGTTCCATCCTTGGCCCTGAGCTCTTCAACAGCTTCATACATTACTTGGATGCAGAATTGTAAGGGATGCTAACCAAGTTTGCAGGTGATTCAAAACGGAAGAGCTGTTGACTCCCTCAAGGGCTGGATGGCCCTGCAGAGAGACCTTGAAAAATCAGAGGGCTGGGCAACCACCAGCCTATGAAGTTCAAGAGTAAGGGAAAGTGCCAGGTTATGCACCTGGGATGGGACAACCCTGGATGTACAGACAGACGGGAATGAGAGGCTGGAGAGCAGTGCCGTGGAAAGGGTCCTGGGAGTCCTGGTCCATGGCAAGTTGAATGTGAGCCAGCAGTGCCCTGGCAGCCAGGAGGGCCACCTGTGTCCTGGGGGTATCAGGGACAGCATTGCCAGCCAGGCAAGGGAGGGGATTGTCCTGCTCTGCTCTGCTCTGGGGCAGCCTCACCTCGAGTGCTGGGGGAGTTCTGGGTGCCAGTACAAGATACTAAATTATTAGAGAGAGTTCAAAGGAGAGTGACAAAGATGGTGAAAGGCTTTGAGGGAAAGCCATATGAGGAGCAGCTGAGGTCACTTGGTCTGTTCAGCCTGGAGGAGACCTCACTGCAGTTACAACTTCCTCTGTAGGGTAAGAAGAGGGGCAAGCACTGATCTCTATAGTGAGCAGTGACAGGAGTGAGGGAACAGCATGAATTTGTGTCAGGGAAGGTTTAGGTTGGGTATTAAGAAAATGTTCTTCATCCAGAGGGTGGTTGGGCACTGAATAGGCTGCCCAGGGAAGTGGTCACAGCAGCAAGCCTGACGGAGCTCAAGAAAAGTTTGGACAACGCTCTCAGGGACATGGTGCCACTCTTGGGTTGGTGCTATGCAGGTCCAGGAGTTGAACTCAATGATCTTTGTGAGTCCCTTCCAACTCAGTTTAGCCTATCATTCTGTGACCTGTTGGACTGGGTTCAGAGGAGAGCCACAAAGATGATCTGAAGGATGGAGCACCTCTTCTATGAGGAAAGGCTGAGAAAGTTGATGTTGTTCAGCCTGGAGGAGGAAAGGCTTCAGCACCTTACAGCACCTTCTAGTGCCTAAAGGGGGCTACAGGAGTGCCAGAGAGATTGTTTTTACAAAGGTAGATAATGATAGGGCAAGGGGGAATGAGGTTTAAGCTACAATTCGAAAGGTTTTGTTGTGGTTTAACCCCAGCTGGCAGCCATGCTGTTTTCTCACTGCCCCAGCAGTGAGATCAGGGAGAGAATCATGAAGGTTAAAGCTGGGAAACTTGTGGGTTGAGGTTCAGACTATTTAACAGGGAAAGTAAAAGCCACACATGGAAGCAAAGCAAATCAAAACAAAACAAGTTATGAATTCACTGCTTCCCATGGGCAGGCAGGAGTTCAGCCATCTCCAGGAGAGCAGGACCCAATCACACACAACAATGACTTGGGAAGACAAACTCCATCACTTCAAATGTCCCTGTCTTCCTCCTTCTTCTACCACCTTATACACTGAGCATGATATCACGTGGTCTGGAATATCGCTTTGGTCAGTTGGAGTCACCTGTCCTGGCTGTGTCTCCTGCCAACCTCCCAGGCACTCCCAGTCCTCTCACCAGTGTGGTAGTATAAGAATCAGAAAAGG